GTCAACATTTCATGCTGGTATTTAAAAAACTAAACAGCCTATAATACCAACTTAACATGGTAAAACGAAGAAATAAACTTTACTAATGTTTTATCCTAAGGGACTTGGGAATCAGGAAAATGATGTTGAAATTGTAACATTATAAATGATGTTATTTATAAAATATGTAAAATCCTTAAGTAGTGTATCAGCATCACTTTATTCAAAGTAATATTCCATCACTTGTTTACCTGTACACTTGTTATATATATTTTATATACATATAAATATGTGTACATTCATATATAAAATATGCCTTAATTAATTGAAGGAAAGAAGAATATGCAAATTATCTTACAAGGATGAACATAATTTTTAATAACAACTTGGGTGCCAACCCTGAGAGATTGTTAAGTAATATATTTAAAACTTCGCATCTAAGACACATGATAATCAGAATCACAAAGAACTAAAGGCTGACCAGAATCAGATACCCATTCATGCTCCTAAGGAAGGCTACAGTTATCTTTTTATTTATAAAATACAGTATTTAAATAAACTTTCTTTGTAATTCATCCTAGAAAAAAATGTGATTTAACTTAAATTTTTCTTTGTTTATAAACTGATGCAAACTATTCATTGGACTGATTGCAAAACACAGGTAAGGATTATAGTACACAATTATTATAATAATTTATGTGTAAAAGTTATAATAATTTATGTGTAAAATAATTTATGTGTAAAAAGTAATAATAATTTATGTGTAAAATAGGGAATGTTTAATGAGTGTCCCCATCCAACCCACTCCTCAACAACAAACAAACAAAATGGATACTAGAACAACTCTTCAGTATATAAAGAAGGTGGTTTGGTAATAACACACTAATATATCAGGACCAGAATACCTGGTGTCATTATTGTGATTCAACAGCTTTCCAGTTGCTGAATGGTCTCTACCATGTAGCAGCAATAAAGGTAACATGTGGTCAAGGAGAAGTTAGTGTGATTCTACTTTGTTTTAGACAACTCTAAGGGGAAATGGCTCAATGGGTATGAAATCTCGAGCAGCTATAATGTGTCTGGTGTGAGGCATTCATGACAGACCTCTATGCAGGAAGAGTAACCATTCACTAAAGACTTGCGGTTCATATTATTTTTATCATTACAAAGCTAAGAAACCATTGTGGTCAGCTGCGGCAGAGGTTCTGTTTCAGAGCAGAGGGTTTGCAATCAGTGGGACCATTGCCTCTAGGGAACTGAGTGTGCCAGTGTGAAAGTTCATCCATGGCAAGAAAGAAAGAATAACAAAAGTATGGGAGATGATTCAGGGGCTTGGAGGGGCACTTGCCCCTGAGCAAATGCCACAAGAACTTTTAAGTCTGCTAAGAGGCACACTTTCTTCCTTTAGGCTTTCATTTATCTGATTCTCAGATAAGATTGATGGATTGCTGCCCTGGTACAAAGTGTTGGGGGGTTCATGGAGGTTGGGATGTCACTTAGCAGTATACAACAATAATTCAAAACATTCTGCAAGGCTTAAAAGCATAATCGCTTGTCAAATTTTCACTCATCAAATCTTGCCCTTCCTTAGGCAGTTATTAGGTATAGACTAGATGTGTCTGCAAGTCAGGAGAGTAGGGTATCTAGACAAGAGACAGGTGAAGAAATGGCCAGTCAGCTGAGAAAGCAAACTTAAACCACAAAAGAACCAAAGCTTGTTCAGATTGCCTATCAATAATTTCTCCAGAAAGCAATCTTTAAAATTAAATCACAAAGTTACATGTATTAATAAATGCAGGACCCCACCTTCAAGCACTCTCATTTCTCTCTGCCTGGCATCTCAAAGGTGGTAAGGTTTAGAATATCTCCTATGCCATTTCTTCATGTATCTCCATTATCTACAGCTCAGTTCAGGTCCCTATAGGGGCCTTGCAAACGAAGGCTCAATAGATCCAAGGATAGCTGACAACAGCACACCAAAGCCCTTGTTTACCATTTACCAAACTCTTTCAAAGATCATTTCAAAATGTACTGAATTTAATTTAATGGCAGCTTGACCAGTGATAACTTGACCTATTGTCTCTCAGTTGTGGTGTCTCCTCAGGATCACTGTAAATCTCTTACTGAGTCTAATCCTTGGGGCAGGGCTTTCTTAGCAAAAAGAACATACGGTACATTTTGTAGATCCTTGTGGTTCTTTGCCTCACAAAAATGTTACTGACTCTGATACACATTTTTTAGATATACAGTGCAAGTGTTGGTGAATCTTTATTAGTTAAACTGCAGTGACTCATTCTCTAGTATTTATTGAAAAACTATAATATGCTCTCTGGAGCCAGGTGCCATAAAAATTTTGTGATTTTTTTTATCTTTCATATTTCATTTAATTCCCACAACTCTTTGAGTTATATAACCAGATAACCCATGTGATCAGTAAATCAGATAACCCTTATTGGTGGCATATATATATTTTAGCTTTCACGTTTTGTTCTGTAGCAGAATAGTTGAGTATGTATGCAATTTAAATTAATATAATGCAAAGAGTATAATTTATAATACAAATACACTTAAACTTTATTTTCATCACAGATTAGGGATGAATAAAACCTTTGCTCTCATAAAACCAGTGTCATGTTTTATACTAAAATTTAATCATTCCATACTTATATCTTAACAACCTTAGGCAAGATAAAACTGAAACTGTACATCATATCACTTTGTAAAAATGTAGCCAAGGATCCCAAGGCCATATACAGTTAAAAGAAAAGATTAACATTATAAATTCTGTGAAGGAGGATACTGAACAATTATGTTAAATAGATTCTTAGTGGCTTTATTCAATTACAGTATCAAAATGTTGCTTATCAGGCCATGCTTATACCTGTAATCCCAGCCACTCAGAAGGCAGAGGCAGGAGGACCTCAAGTTCAAAGGCAGCCTTAGCAACTTAGCAAGGCTGTAAGCAACTTAGTGAGAACTTGTCTCAAAAAATAAAAAGGGCTAGGGATGTGACTAGCAACCTGAATCTCTAGTACAAAAGAAAAAAGTATTACTTATTAGGCTGGGGATGTGGTTCAGTGGAAGAGTGTCTGCTACCATGCACAAGGACCTGTGTTCAATCCCCAGACACACACACACACACAAACACACACACACACACACACACACACACGAAAAAAAAAAAAGAATATGTATTACTCATCAATACTGTTTTTTAAAAAATCTACTCTTAATAATTTTCATTTTTTAGGTAAAATTATTAAATTTTATTAAATTTAAATTTCAAAATATTAAATTATTAAATTAAATTAAGAAAATTTCTGGAAAGTAACAAAGAAAATGATAAAGAATCTATGATAGCAAAAAGTATTTCAGAATGGCATGATATGGATATCTTAATAATCTATAAAGAAAGTGGATCAAAATTCATAGCATTAATTTATAATATTTCAGAGCTATTTCCTTTATCAGCAATAATATATAATAAAGGATTCTATTCATAATAAATAAACAAATTATGTTTCTCAAACTCCAGTTTGTTTTTATCACTTATTCTTAGTTCTTTGCTCAATGAATATGTAAAATTTCACTGTGGGCAATCAAAATGAGAAATTGTAGCTTAACAATGTAAGACACAAATTCAAATATTGATTCCATATTTTCTAATTTGACTCATGAGTCACTAGCACATGTTAAGTGTTTTTATACCCAGTAAGAGTATACATTGTAATAAAAGCAGCCTATACTTTGTTGTGTTCTCAGTGTGCCTACTAATATATTAAATATTCTGTCAAAACCATTAAAGATATCAAGTTTTCAGATTCTTTTAAATTGTGATATTGCTGATGATTATTAAAAGGTACACTACAATATTAATATATCTTTATAGGAATGTCTGGATAGCTTATTTAGGCACAGGATACAAACAAAAAATTTCCAACATTTTTGTTGTAGTGCATCAAACACATACAAATATTCAAAATCATACACAAAATACAAGAGCATTGCAATTATTATACAATGCACAATTATAATTAGACAAAATATTAGAAATATTTCTTAAATTCTAGTGATAATTTTTAAAATTCCTTTTTTTGGGGAAACAATGGGGCATAAATATTATTTTAACACAATAAATCTTAAGTAGGAAAGCAGGGATAATTACATTTTAAAATATATTTCATTTTTGCATTGATTTGAAAAGAATTAATATTTAATAAATTTGCTTTTCTCTAAGAAAAGACAAAAAGAAACAGATCATATTTATAAACAACAAACTAAAAATTAAACTTTTTGGTTGGTACAGAAAGAAATTATAATGCTTTAATGTAAAAAAAAAAGTAGAAAATCACATAAAAGCATGGAATTTTAAGGCAAACACAACTATTTAGTGCTATTAATGTCAAATAGTGCTGCTTTTCTAGGTCTACAATATATTCGTTCCAAAATCAATACATGGATTTGAAAATAAGAGCTCCAAAGTATCCAGCATCCTTCAAAAATGGAAACTTTAACATAAGAATATTTAGTTAAATGCTAAAAAATGTCGTATAACAAGTCATGAAAAATGCTAGAAAACTAAAATTGTATTTTATTATTTAATATGGCTTAAACTAGAAGTTAACTCAAAAAGACATTACAGAGAAAAAAATTTACGGTGATTTCCAAATGAGTAATGTATATTGCAAATTTCTCTATTTTTCTGAACAGAAAATCCCTACGTACTTTCCAACAATGTTGAAATACCAGTCAATGAGCTGGGGGGTGAGGGGCAGCCTATAATTCTATGAATGCAAAAACAAATATTAAATTACAGTGATAAGGTATTTTAACACTGCTAATGTGCTATAGTGACAATATTTAAGTTGTCTGTGATAAAGACAGTGACATTTAAGGGGGGAAAATCCAAGCTGGGGAAAGGATTTTTGGTTTTGGTTTTCTGATTCTCATATTTAAAAGGAGAAATCAAGTAAACAAAGAGCTGACTCACTTAAATAAGGGGATCTTAAAGTGGCACTTACTGGCATAACAATGTTGTAGTGGATGCAGAATCCGGGTTCAGAAGGAAAATACTCATCAGATACAAATCTTATTCTGATTTGATTTCCTTTGGAAATCTGTTTTCCTGGTACAGGACCAGAACCACACCAGCGCCCTAATACAGTTCCATCACTGGGTTCCTCAACTTCTACAAAATCATACCTGTAAAGAGACAAAGGTAGAAGGAACTGAAAGTCATGTTTTCTTATTTTGGTAAATCATATTTTGTGTCTATAGATTCAATGACTTTATTGACCTTAGAAATGAGTTATAATTAAATGAGATATAATTAAATATTTTAAAGAGGATATAAACTGAAAATGAGATCAGAAACGAGTCTTCTTTTCAAAGTCTTCCGGTTTTGCTATTAACATATAGCAAAAAAATATTTGCTATTCATAAATTATTCAATTTAATTTCCATTTGGATAGGATGATCTTACTCCAGTCTTAGTTCCTATTATTGTTGCCCACTGGTTTCTAGCAATAACTCTTCCATTTGTACCACACTCCTTGGCTTTGTTTCCTCATCTGTGATGCCAACTTTTCTAACACCACTCCAGTATACCTGCTTCATATGCACTTTGAACACTACCTCCTCTGCATGATCTTCCTGGGTCTTCTCAGATCACATATATTTTGATAAACACAGATTTTTAATATTAAATATCTTCTTAGGCTATTAAATCCTTAAACAAAGGAATCAATTCTTATATATTTCTGTTTTACTTGGCACTAGTAAGAAATGCTTATTTCTTCTAAACAAATGACAACTTTGATTTGGAAGAGATAGTTAGAACAATACTACCCCATGAGAGAAAACATCAAAAATCAATAGGAACTTTTTAGGTTGGCTCAATGACTGGGGGTGAAAAAGGGAATGAGTAAAGTATACTGGACTAGATTCAGAAATTCAGAAATTCTCAACACCAGAAAATCTTGATGATAAATATTGCCCTATGTTCCCAACACCTATAAAATATTTCACTGGATATATCATTGAGGCAAAGTTTTTGCTATCATGCATCTGAGTGTGGAACCTAACCTATTTCATGTATAAATACATATATTTTATATACTTTTTAGTTTAAGCAAAATTTTCTAGAAATAGAAAATCAAGTTTCAAATTAATGAAGGAAAGATTTTCACATTTTGCTTGGAACTCTACCAAGAGTTAGTTACTACTTTGGAAAGACATGTCACCAATAGGAACACTACTTATCATATCTGCATCACAATTAAGACTAAGACAATTAAATCTTTTATTATTTATTTATTTATTTTGGTACCAGGGAATGAAACTATGGGTGCTTAACCACTGAGCTTAATCCCTAGCCCCTTTTAAAAATATTTTATTTAGAGACAGGATCTGTCTGAGTTGCTTAGGACCTCCCTAAGTTGCTGAAGCTGGCTTTGAACTCACCATCCTCCTGCCTCAGCCTCCTGAGCTGCTATGATTACAGGTGACCACCACTGTTCTCAGTTAAATCTATTATTAATCTATATCTTCAGCTGTCAAAATTTAAAATAAGTCTACTTAAAAGATGCAAACATCTGATCATTTATTTTATTTTCTTGTGTAACTATTAATATGTATGTGTGTATTAGAATACATGTTTCAGTATAAATTATTTTGCTATTATTTCAGGTTTATATAATACTCAGGACATTATACCTATTTATTTATTTATGGTTTTTCAGTTGTTGATATACCTTTTTTAAAAAAATTTATATGTGATTCTGAGAATGAACCCAGTGTTTCACATATGCTAGGCAAGTGCACTACCACTGACCAGCCCCAGCTCCAACATTATATTTATTTTTCAAACAACTGCACATACAAATAGATGATGGCATCTATGAATTGCATTTCAGAATGCTAAACAGGAGATTCCAGAAATTCTGTTAAAAGGGAAGTCTGACATTAATTTAAAATGACTGAGGGTTTTTTTTTTTTTTTAGTTTAGTTTAAATTCAGGAGATACCAGATAACCAAAACTAATGTATTTTACATAGCATTGAATTCAAAGAAGAAAAAAATTGTTGAAAACAAACAGAATATATAACAAACCAATTATAGCTATAAATCTTCCTCCTCAGAAATTATCCAGAACTCTCTTATGACAAGTAAATTAACCTCACTTTCCACATCAGTAAGTTGAGGACAATGCTACCCAACTCAAAGTACTTTCATGGTTTTGAAAACATTGTTGGCACTAGGTTACCAGTCAATAAAGTTATATCCATTCCTAGTCTGCATCCTTCTTACTCCCCTGACACCTCTTTTAAGAAAACTCAAAAATAAAGGAGAGGGAATGTTTGTGCTCTATCATGACAAGTCCAGGGTCATACATTACAAATGCATAAGTCATTCTTTACACCCACTGCAGCAGTTTGGGTGTGAGGGTGTGGGTGAGGTGAAGAGGTGGAGAGGGAGGAGTACAGGGAGTTGAGTGAAACAGATCTAAAAATATTTCAAGTGTAAGTAGTTCAAAATTTGGTAATTATCATTTTCAACAAAAGGAAATTTTCACACCAAGACTGTCCACCTGGGAAACAAAGCTTCTGTTCAAGACTATCTGTTTGTTGGGACGTAAATCTGACTCAGGTTTCCACTATTTCTATAGGTGTTTATGAAGCATTGTTTAGATATAAAATGTTGAGCTGGGATTCTCAGGATATAAAGATGAAACCACAGCTTCATTGGGTTCCGGGTCCACAAACCACATTGATAAGAACTCTACTGAAGGATACTGAGGAATACTGTAAGTGTAAGAGTAACTTTATACAATGAAACTAGGGTCAATTTACTAAGGCCTTGACATCTGGGCTATCAAAGAATATTGACTGACCAAGGGTGGCAAGGGAGGGAAATGGAAATGCATTTTAGCAAGAAGTCTAATACCTAAGATGTAATATAAGAACAGAGGCTCCAGGCATGGTCAGTCATGAATAGAGGATGGCAAACAAAGAAGAGGATGGAGATCATGCTGTGAAAACAGGCATAGGTGAGCAGGCCTTGGTATTTTGGAGTAAGATTTTAGGAACTTCCTTTTTAAGTCAACCTAACAAACAGAGGGAACACAGTTTTAATAGGCCCTATGTTTCTCTAAAAAAAAAAAAAAAAAAAAAAAAAAGGAAATTAAAAAGTAGCACTGAACAGAAAACCTGGATCTCTGACTTTTTCTCTTATTTGATGATCTGGTACAATTGAGTATCTAGACACTGTCTCAAAAATAAAAATAAAAAAGGCTGAGGATATAGCTCAATGATAAAGCACCTCTGGGTTCAATCCCCAATAACAAAACAAAACAAAAAAAGAGAAAAAGAAAAGAAAAGAAAAAGTGAGCATCTTTAGCTTTAGTGTGACTCCATGAGGGTCCATTTCCAAAGCTGGTGTCGGCTCCAGGAGAGTTGTCTTCTCCCTAATACCCACATCCCAGGCACATAGTAAACATAGTATCAGTATTTGGACAGGCACATGGCTCTCATATCAACTGAAGCCAACACTAAGAGGAACAGTTCTGGAAGAGCCATGTTCTTTTTAGTTTTAGAAATCCTCATCTACTTCCTATACTTTAAAAGCTAAACAAAACAAAACAAACAAACAAAAAAACCCACCAGATCTCTTCATCTATTTAATCTATTTACATTACTCAGTCCTGTAAGCATTTGATTTTTTGCCAACCTTGTAGATTTCAACCGGTGGAAGTAAAAGAATCACCATGTGCTTGAGGAATACCAAGAAACATTTCAAGTGTGAGTCAAAAGGAAAGATCTTTTAACAAAAGCATCCTTAAAAGGAACAATCAAGGAAAAAAGAGAAAACCATAGTGAGAAATGGCACAGACGTGATGAAAGGAGAAAGGGGACAATTTCCTCCAGAAGCAGAAGCAGTCAAGCAGTCAATAGAGCCATGCACCAAAGAAAGATCAGAAAAGATGAAAATCATAAAGTATCCATTATAAAGTCATTTTCAATAAACACCATGGGTAGTACACTTGGGTCAAAAAGATTGTTTTGTTTTTTGTTTTTTCATTTGCTATTGAGGATTAAATCCAGGGGCACTTAACCACTGAGCCACATCCTCAGATCTTTATTTTTTTAATTTTAAATTTTGAGACAGGATCTTGCTAAGTTGCTCAGGCTAGCTTTGAACTTTCGATCCTCCTGCCTCAGCCTCCTGCCGCTGGAATTTCAGGCATATGCCACCACACCCACCTATATCAAAATTTTTCTTGAGAACATTTTCAAAAATAACTATTATAATCTTTTGAATATAAAAAGCATCCTATGAGAAAAGAATATCACACTCAGGAAACCTAAAATTAGCAATTTTCATAGCTATTTTACTATACATAACTTTCGTGTTATTTTTTTTTTTTAAAAAGAAGCACCATATGTGCTTGTCTGATTTGTAACTTCTTTGGAAGTATTTAAAAAGGTATTTTTACTACATAAGGATATGTCTGAATTATAAAAGTTAAGAATTTATTAAACAACAAATAAGTCTTTTATTTGTTGGGCTTTGGGCTTTGGGCTGAGGGCTGCAGATATTGCTCAGAGTACATCATTAGCTTGGCCTGTGCAATGCCCTGGGTTTGTTACCCAGCACTGCAAAAGAAAAACATCATGGGCTGAATAACCTATATGCTGATGCAAAACCACTGTCCTGCAAATAAGAGAAGGGTAATGAATCTGTTATTACTTACTTTATGAAGATTTTCTGCTGAATATGATGCCATTTAAAAACAACTTTTATAACAATTTCTGGATTTACAGCTACACAGTGGGCAATTAATTCTTACGTGCTCATGCAAGTCTGGCACATACATTTTATCATAGCACTTTAAAAATACTGCATAGATTTGTATTTCATGAAGGTTAAATGAAATGCACATCTAAAAAAGTACCATATTATTTGCTGACAAAACAGTAGAACTTAGCATATGTTAGTGTTTCACAGTAAATTAGGCATTTTAAGCTGTATCCAGAACTCATGTCATACAAATATAATTCTAAAATTCCTCCAATTATTCTAATATTAATTTTTATGGCCATATCCAACAATTGTTAAGCTATCTACATAATTTTATTTATTTATTTGTTTGTTTGTTTGTTTATTTTGGGGGCAGTGCTAGGGATTGAACCCAGGGCCTTGTG